TTACGAAATCACTTTGGTTACAACTCATGGAGACGGAAATTTCTAACGTTAATTGCTTTCCAATTGCTATTTTTTTTATATTAATTTGTTTAGTTCTTGTTATTACTAATCGAAATACAACATGATGACGCCATTACATGTACACTGTAATGAAATTACGGTTTGTATATTAAAACAGCGGGGGGTTAGTCACACAATTCAATCATAAAATCTCCGACTTCGTGATGTTCACGCTCTTGGGAGGGTGTCGGCGTAAAATGTCATCTATCAGAATTGTTTATTTGTTATCAAGGCGGAAAGTTCCCTTTCTAAGAGAAGAAAATATTGCGTTTACTTCATTACAAACTAGACCGAATTAAAAATTCGTAATTGGATTTGTCAGTACCAAGTAATACAGACAAGAGACAGTTGTTAATATCCGGCCTTACACCTTGTCCACCGCCTTGTTATGTTCCGGGTCGTAGCAGTTAATATTCTGACGTACGCGTAATGGCTTTTGATTTCCTGATACGACGCAAACTAAACGGTTGTCGGTCCCTTCCACTGAACGGTTGCCTAGAGCTTGTCCGGTTACTTGTTACCATGTCAACCACTATGGCATAAATGCCTGTTATGTAAACTAAACTAAACGATTATTTTCAAGATCATAGTAAATCATGTAGTTTTTAATCGTCACGGAAGTTCGTGAAATATAATAAAGTTTAAAATGAAACTAAAAGTACTTATTTGTTGAACTTGGCTGACTCTCTCTAACCATGGAGGTTAACCAAATTCACCTGAATGCACATCACTGTTCGCTTGCGACGAGACGCTCCGGTGACGTAAACGGCGATAACAGTGATTGGTTGTCTAGTCGTTCTCGTTTAGAATATAGCACATATCATTCGCTCGTTCCCGGCGTCCTTTGCGAATGGCGGGTAGAACGCAGGTAACTAGTAATCGCCATATTGTTCCATTTGGGCCGGTTTTCCGGCCGGAAGGAACGCGACTGAGTGACGTAATTTGAAAACATTCTAAGTTCCGTTCTGCGTAAACGTGTCTGTAACACTACAATAAAGCCATGCTCATACATTCTGCCTGCTTAGACTTACATATTTGGGATGTTTCTGACATTCCTCGCTGTCTCCATGGAAGGTACTAACCTTCCATGCCGTTTCTGTGCAAATTTATAACAAAAGGAACAGTTTTTTATTCGCCCAACTTTCGAAAGTAAAAGAAAATCCCTGAACGGCCACGAGCGTAAGCACTGACGTCAGGTAACCAAGGGAAATAGAACAAGCAACAAGAAAGTGACGGACCAATCAGAATGCCGTATTCTTGTGGCTTGGTACGCCATGACATTTGAGGCGGGAACCAGCCAACACATATCACAGACACGGCTTGTCACTAGAGGGCGCTAATATATTTCTTTATACTGTGTCAGTTTAGCAGGTACATGGTTTATGCGAGTAGGTGATCGGACCCTTGAAATATAATTAAATGAAAATTATATCTAGATCCGGCCCCACCTATTCTAATTTAACAAATAAAGCCGTATCTCTAACATACCACCTTTCTTACGTTTGCAACAGAGGGGTTATCTCCCGCTTAGAACTACAATCATCGATGTGTTATGACATCGTCAGCTTTTGTATTTCAGGAAGTTTGATGCACCATGGGAATCAATTATTTTAAACTAAACTCAGTAGCATAATTGGTCGTAGCTTGAAATCAAAATGTACTGGGAAACCGAGACGCAATCGTCTATTCAACAACGTAACGAACGTTCTGGGCAATTCACAAGCTATTCGTGTGACAGAAAGTGTTAATACGTTATGTTTTTAATAGTAGTAATAGTCAAAAAGCGCGAAAGTTAAATTGGCCTTCGGGTAATTACTTAAACAAACATTGGTAGTGCATATACACTGCCGTATTCGTCTATACACAGTCACTCTACTAGAAGAGAGTGACTGTGGTCTATACTTCAGTTAGCATCATGTTTAGTAACTGTTATAGAATTTCTGAATCACGTAACAATTTGTAATACATTTTACCCGTGTTGCTACCTTAAGAGAAATCTCAGCAACCACTGCGGTAATTCAATTGAAGCGGGAAGGTCGTCACCTGCACACGCGCGGGAGTTCCAAGCGACGATAACAACACACGCTAAAAACGTAAAGGCTCATGGGTAGATGCTTGTTTGTAAACAATGACACGCTATAGCCATCTGACGCATGCGCAGGTGACGACTCCCCCGCTTTAAGGTCTCATACTGGCTATGTCTTTTTTTTTCACTTTAATTTTGTATGATTTTTGTGTGTGTTTTTTTTTTTTTTTTTTGTATATTGTGTATTGTAAATTGCATGTAACGTTTATATAAATATTTAATTGCTCGTTTTCTGTTTATTTACAGAAAACTCCTCTGGGAGAAGATGGCATCAGAGGGTATAGAAATGGCCAACTTACCAAATCCGTCAAATACAGCGGACTCACCCGGGCGTAAATTACCCAAATGGTTCGTGGATCAAACAAACACAAACCATCAACAGGCCGCATACCTGGCTAAAATATATCGAATGAAAAACCAGCTAATACAAGAAGAACGAAGTAAAATGAAAACAGCGGTAGATCGTGTTTCCCATCGAGGAACGGCGAATAAATACAAAGCGCCACCACCGTTAATATGGAAGCCGGGCACGGGGCCAACAGTTGCCATGACAGCAAGGGAGCGGCAGCTTGAGAAGATTCGTAGCATGCGACAGCGCCCTCCACATCCAATGCTTCATCCAATTCTGGGACAGACAGTGTTCGATTCGCCTCGGAGAGCGAGTAGCGAACCCAAACTGAAAACAGATATGGAATCAACAAGTTTGACATTTCCGCGAAAAAATTCATTCCTCGACGCATTTTTGAACAATAGCATGGAAGGTAACGGTTCCAGCTTTTCGCAGTTACGTTCGAGTGAAGGAAACCACCCAGGGGTATCCTCATTAATGAAAAACATTATCCCCACGGCGAGTATACCAAATATCGGACGACGAGCTGTTAATACAAGGGAGAGAATAGGAGGGTTCACGGTCAAGAAAGCTGAGCACCCACGCGACAAAGAACACGATTCGAAACCCAGGGGTAAACTATATAAAGTTACGGAAAGACACGGACAAAGACGATATCTGAAAGCCGATTCGGATGAGATTGACCTTTCACCCGAGACTTATCGGTTTGATCTACCGTATGAAGACAATGTGTCTCGATGGTATAGGAAAGGTGATCGCACGTTACTGGTCCCTAACAGCACGCCTGTTTCCTTCGCTGAACTTAGAGGGCGCGAGATAGATGACGCTGTTATCAAACAAGTGAAATGGAGCAACGATTTAGTCGTCCTTCGGAGACCGAGACAATCGGGATATTTTGGTCATTCACATAGCAACGAAGATGAACTGATTGGAAAACAGCGAGAGGGTATCAAACTACCGCAAATCGCCAACAATAATAACTCTGTATTCCAACAGGAGTCATACCGTGACGCCGATAACGTCGACGCCGAGTGCCCTGTTTGTGTTGTGGAGAGGACGTCGGACGGCAGTGGTTCACCCAATAACAAAAAACACATGATACACATAGACATGCCTACGTTGGAGATGAGCGCAGCCAACAGCCCAGTGCAACCACCAAACAAACACTCCCCACTTCCGCCACCACCAGTACAAACCAGTTCTACTGGCAAAACACTTCGGCCCAAATCAGACTGATTCTAATGGCTGCCTGCAATCGAATATGCAGTCCTTTTCCAGTTTTTTTTTTCTTCTCATCACTATTGAGCTTTTGGATTTATTTTCTTGATTTCTGTCCATATTTTTTTTATCAAAAACCTCCAGCCCCCCCCCCCCAGATTTTAAATGGCGACCCTTAAACAAACACTACACATAACGAGTCTAGTTCTCTCAAATTCCTAGCGAATTGGCTAACTGCTTGCTTGAGTTTTGACTAAACGATTGGCTTTCGAATTTCGCTGGCGCCGGTTTGTGATCGCGTCCACTCTTGGCGAGTCTATATTGCATTAGGGGACATAGAATGTTTTTACGCATCCTCAGGTTGGTACATGTCTGGATTCCCCTGAATGATTTGAGCCCGAAAAAAATGGCCACTGTCAGCTGGCGCGATAATATTATAAATGTGATTAATCTACCGATATTTATTATATGAGGTTAACCTTCTTGAATACTGCTTGAAACTAAATAGACAAGTTGAGAAACAGTTTCCTACAAATCAGGGAGGAAATAACAAACTTTCACACTCAAACAATCCGTTGGGGTAACATTAAGCAAGCCGCTGGAAAAATAGACCTCATTCGTCGTTTTTGTGTGGACCCGAAGAGCATAGAATACTTTCCCTGGTATATTTCAAAGCGAAATCGCCATCCAACTGTAAGACCGTCGCTGATTAGCTCCTAAAGCATGATGATCGTCCCCTACTGTTACATAGATTCGCCTAAAGTGGGCGTGACCGCAAGACGGCGCCAGCGAGATTCGAAAGCCAACCCTTCAGTCAAAATCCAAGCAGTATGAGACTTGCTGTAAAGAAACACTGTCGTTTGGTACGTGGAAAATATCCCCAACCCGAATTTATTCACGACTGTAACATAATATTAATATTAATATTACTAATATTACTACACTGATGTTATATTTTACTTACCACAATTCGTTTTCTGTGTGATCGCGATATCACTGTAACCTCGATGTACACTGAGTATGGGGCTCTGTTAAAGCGGGAGGATCGTCACCTGCGCACGCGCGGGAATTGAGTCCAAAGCGACGATAACAACACGCGCTAAAACCGCAAAGACTCAAGGATCAAGGTAAACAATGACACGCTATGGCCAACTGACGCATGCGCAGGTGACGACTCCTCCGTTTTAAGATCAGCGTATTGAAAAACAAACTTTCGACCATCTACACGGAGATTGATTATGAATAGTTTTGATAATAAAACGAGATATGCAGACAATTTATATTTTACATAAACATGACAATTTACAGCAGTGGTGGTTGTGAACGCATTTTGAACATAACTATGCCCGCTGTTTAATTTACTACACCAGCTATATTTCTTAATGAACAGCGCCAGCAGCGGTCTTGTATATATTAAAAACATTTTCAAGTTGATAACACACAGAGACAATTTGTATCCCAGTGCATTAACGATCAACCTTGTACCGGCAAATATAATTTTTGACTTTTCTGTACCAAGTCGTTCTGAGTCATAATCGTCTTCTTCCATTTATTTACCATATTGTACACCTGTAATTGCATTCTTATTGTAACAAACTAACGTGGATATCCTGTGCTTTGTTATTTTGTAAGTTTTATAATTAAACAGTATGTTTCCGATACTTGGCCAATTTACCAACTTCGCTGTATAATTGAAAAGAGTCTGTATATGTGTGGAAGGTACAGAATGGGAGTAAACGTCATGAAAACGAATGACCAATCAGCATGTGTTTCAGATAGAAGGTCGGTACGGGTTTTCTACTGTCTATGTATATATGTTGATTGGTTCTCGGTAATGGAAGAGAGACACTCTGATTGGTGCTTATACCTAGACTTTCTCGTAGTGACCACTCGGTACCGTAAATAAGTCAGGGTTTTAGACAACGATTTTACCTTACTCCTTTGCATATCACTCGGCAATGCCTTATTCAAATAACGCTAAAATGTTTGCGACAAAAATTCTCGCCATGAAAATCTAATTTTCAGGCTCAGATATTTCGATTGCTAATTCAGATTAGTAATATCTATTCTGCTATGGACATACGCCCTCTATCGTTCGAAAATATTTATTGGTACCCAAGCCTTGCAAACAATAACACCCATATTGGTAAATGTACGATCATCACCTGCGCACGCGCGGCAATTGAAAAATACACCGTAATTCTCTTTAAATACAAAATATACCAGTTGAATGCATGTATTTTCGATTATAAAAAAATGGGATGTTGCCTATGTGGTCTGCAGATACTTTATGGCAGTCAGTGGTCAACAAAGTTTTTTTTCATATGACTTTTCCCAAAAACACACAAGCCAATCAGGAAAACTTCATAAACATAGTGCAGACTTCATCTTTCAGCTTAGCACTGGGTCAAAATAAAAATAAAGTCAAAATTCACAGCGTTTCTTGCCTTTAAAACAATATTTGGATAGCTGCTGTGAATTTGTCTACGGAGACAGTGGAGTGTCTCGACCTACTGACCCCAGTCTTTCTGAAACAGGAAGTGTTGGAAGCGCTCAACTTATGAAGCAGGTCCATAACGGACAGGAACGGGGTTTTGCCCAGAGGAGATGCAATCCGATTACAATACTTAAAACAAGTGTGATTGCGTAAAATGAAATGAGTGAGATTTTCGCAGCTTTGTGAATAAACAAGGATGTTAACAAAGCAGCAGTTTGTCTTGACAAACAATAACGTAACGAACTCGCCCATTTACGTGGTGTCTCGAGTTATGTACGAGTATGTGATATCATCTCGCAATTCGTTTCATTCATCTCAATTCCCGCGAGATCTCCGTCGCATTTTACACTACTGACATACCATCATCTTATAAATCCCTGCTAAAATAAATGTAGGTATTAAAATAATCCATATACTGTGAATTAAAATAAAAACAACTTGGTCACCGTCACGTAACAGCAAAAATAGTCCACTACTTCAGCAAAGTACACGGTATTATGTGCGCTGTATTCGATATTCCCTCTGCAGACAGAGACACAAATGATTGAACATTTCGTCACGTGCCGACATCTTTTGAAGCGAACGTAGCATTCGTTAATGGCAAAGAAGCATCATTGTGGAGAAATAACCTTGATTTGTTTTGCATTCATTTTTTTTTCACCTGATAAGAAAAATGTTATGTTCTGTGTCAACACAATATTAATACTGGCGATGGTCGTCACGCAGCGCGTGTTCGAATGTCACCACCGCCATTTAACCAATGTATTTAGTGCTGACGATAGCAAACTAATTCAATATTTGATTCTCTGTTTCGTTGGAGTGGGAGGTCCGTCACCTGCGCGCGCGCTGGAATTGAGTCTCAAGCGATGATAACAACACACGCTAAAAACGCAAAGGCTCATGGGCGTATTGTTTCTGAACAATGAGACGGCCATCTGACGCATGCGCAGGTGACGACTACCCCGTTTTAATAGTACCCAAGTTTGGGATTCATCAAGTCCAAATATGTCTAGTATGAATTAGTTTTCTCTAACGCCAATATGCATAAAAGTATTTATTCTATTGAGCAGCAGTTATTAAGATGAAGTCAACAACATTTTCTTGGCCAAAAATAGCATTTTCACAAAAATATTCGCTGGAATTCAAGATATAGTCACGAAAAGTTCAATTCTAATTCCGTGGTGGACATCCAAGTATCGAACCAATCGGAGTTAAAGGTCAGTGGTCGTCGTGCCGCGTCCTGTTCGATATGGGACTCATAGCGACGTATACAACGCGTGTAAAATACATTGTTTATTTACATGAAATTCGAACACGCGCTACGCAACGACCACCGCGCTTCAAAATAGGTTTTCAAAATAACATTTTTGACCAAAAGTGACAAAATTATTTGCCAAAATTGCAAAATTAAAGATATCATTGATATAATCAAATCTAATGGGGGGCACCTAAGATACACATATACCCCAGTCTTTGTTAGTCGCAGTCAGATATATTGCCCACATTTTTGCTACAGCACAACACATGTTTGATATCAAATATCAAAGAATTTGGAGTAGAGGTTTTTTAAGATGGAGATGAGAATACTGTTACCATAGCGACTTCACGTACGCACATTTGTTCACATGCCGTTGCACTATTGTTGAGAATCAACAACTTGCATGTTTAGGGTATATTACAGGAATTTGATAAATAGATTGTTTACTAATCGTATTCAGTTGTGGCAACTTTGCAACGCTTTAACCGTGAGACACTCCCTGGTAATCACGTGACCGTGCCAACTGCAGCTATTGGCTAATCGCATGTTTACACTGCCATGATTTAGGGGAGATTTTTTAATGAAGACTTTATAAAAGAAATAGGATATAGGGATAACGAGACGTCACATCCGCTCAATGGATGAATAAAGCTGGACTATTTGTAACGAACCAATTTATATTCCTTTGGGCGGCCGAATATGGTATAATTACGTGTAAGCATAGAGGTATAATACCTCCATGGTGTAAGAGAGTCAAGTTCCCTGAACACAACGCTAGTGTTCACAATAATACACCAAAATGACAAAAATATTCGAAAAAATAGAGAATTGAAGATATCGTCACAAAATGGTCAATCTTATACAGGGTCGCCCAAAGAACTTATACAAGGGAAGCGGGCACACCGTGTGACTGCGACGACGGACAATCATCTACACCAGCAGCTCCGCCTGACAACTTTGATGACAACGGAGGTAATTACAAAAAGATTTTTTACAAAATAGAGTTCAATCTACGCAAATGTTGAACAAATGGCCGCCGAGATCTCGTTGAGAGTGAGAGAAGCATGGGAATTGTTTTTGTCGGTCGAATAATGCTCCATTCTTACCCGCCATCGCGCCAATTGTTCCAAAAATCATGGTTACATTGGCCAGGAAAACACTGGACGCGAGGATGAGAGAAAAGTAAATACTATTTGAGAGGTGATAACTTGAACAATTGTCTCGCTTTCAACGAGATCTCGGCGGCCGTTTTCTCCTAAGGTGTAGTCACAGTCCCTCAACTGTAGAGGGACTGTGTTGTAGTGAAACATTTTGATACATTTTAATAATCTATATTAGATGTATTTTATTCTCCTAAGTATTTTACACAATTATTATTCGAATTGTGCACTTCGATCTCATGCAATATTCCCTCGGGTAAACACTTCTTCATCTGATGCCATATAAACAGTACTATGTTCTCGACGGTACTAGGCCTATCCTTGAAATAAGGAACATCTCGATCGAGCTGTCTGTGGTCAAGTTCATCAATAACATTTTGCTGCAATGGAAACCAAAATAATCATTAGGGAGAGTCGTCACCTGCGCATGCGTCAGATGGCAATAGCGTGTCATTGTTCACAAACAAGCGTCTATCCAGGAGTCTTTGCTTTTTTAGCGTGTGTTGTTATCGTCGCTTTAACGAAACAGAGAACGTATTACAACAGAAAAGTATTAATGATGGGATCAAATATTGAAATAGTTTGCTATGGTCAGCACTAAACACATTGGTTAAAAAGCGGTGGTCGTCGCGCCGCGTCTGTTTGATATGGGACTCATAGCGACGTACACAACGCGTGTAAAATACATTGTTTATTTACATGAAATTCCAACAAGCGTGACGACCACCGGCAGTATTAATATTGTGTTGACACAGAACATAACATGTTTTGTTGTTTGTTGACGAATACATTGAACTATGATTTACCATGAACCAAATCTTTGTTCCTGCAGCACCTAGGTGGGTATTTATTCGATGAATTAATGTAGTTATTTAGTACGTATGTGTACTAGTTAGTTTGATTCGTACCGATACAATAACTCTCAGTGCGAATTAGAATTTTTTTCATTTTCTATCCAACGAATACTGTTTATATTGAAATAAATGTAGTCAGAATTTGTTATTTCCTCTTTTAAATTTTAATGACGTGAGCCACAATAAGATTTTCCACGTTTCACATACCTTAATTAATTTCTTTAAGTCCAACAGATCTATGATATAACCAGTGGTAGGTTCAACCTTTTGAGAAATTATAAAATATCAAAATACAACGTTTCGTCAAAGTAGAATAAGTTTTAGTCTGTCTGTTGAGATGGCACAAAGATGAATATATATCTTCTCTAACACTAATGGTTAACTAGGAACAGGGGAATGTTTTTCACACGTGATTCCCGTTACTTCGGAGATACAGTAATTCCTTATTACATATGAAGATATTTTATGACCCACTGATGTTACACGTAGTTCTATGCGCGACGACCACCGCGCTTCAAGGTTTTCAAAAGAAATCGGCAATAACATTTTTGACCAAAAGTGCCAAAATTATTTGCCAAAATTGCAAAATTGAAGATATCATTATGATATAATCAAATCTAATGGGGGACCACCTAAGATACACATATACCCCAGTCTATGTTAGTCGCAGTCAGATATATTGCCCACATTTTTGCCGTTACTTCGGAGTTACAGTAACTCCTTATTACATATGAAGATATTTTATGACCCACTGATGTTACACGTAGTTCTATGCCCGTTTAAAATGTCATCATCTAAGCCAACTACGTACAAGTGCTAGGATTTCTCCGTACCAAAACACTCAAATGAAATAAATATGATGGTGTAAATACTTTACCTTGCCTTTGATTGTTACTTTCACTGAAAAAAAATAGGAAACTTTAATTTGTTGTAGTATATATCACACACGATTTGCTTTCTCATCATTCTCACTCCATATATGGTGTTTTGCTGATGTTACATAGCCTTAAATGTGCTATAAAAGGTTGTTAAAATAGACTATTGACGGTTTCCGGTGCAAGTGATATTCTGTCCGACCGTGACGTCAGCAGCTTGCAGCCTCGTTCGTTTATTGTATCGTGCATACAAACAAATGCGCAAAATTAATGCAACTTTTCCAGGATTTCGTGGTGTTTCAAATCTACTTCGATTAAAATGTTAACATGCAATTTTACTAAATAATATTATTGGATGTAGTTCAAGTTTAACGTCTCACGCCTTTGATGTCAAATATCGTGAAACACAACACAGTATGAAATTTCAGTTTGGATATCCCATTTTTTGTTTAGTAAGCCAAATGTTTTTTTTTCTGTGTTTTTTTCCGTATAATAAGAGGTAAAGAAGAGAGCTCGGCGACACGGTGGAAGAAAATAAGGTGTAAGACCTAACAAACAAAATTGTGCTGTCAAAGGAAATACAAATCAGCCGGGTATTGCGCCGCAGCAGAAGATGCAGTTGGAAAATGGTAGCTGATGCTTTAAATTCACGCTCTGAATGTGAATTGCAATTAATCATCCAATTATTTGTGTGTGTTGTCGCTGATTCATTGTATTAAATAAACTATTCGGTGTGCGTACTTGAAAATTAAAATGAAAGTATTAAAAAATAATCTTCAATGAATTGTAAAGTTATAATATTGAGAAAATACACTTAAAGTGATAGGTATATAATTTTTATTTAGAGGGAGATTTTAGTGATTATTGCTCTCAATAGACTGACCTCTATAATTGTAACCATTCATGTTATTGCTTACACCATAGGCTTTACGGTTTTCTTCATCATTTAAATATTTGCTGAAAAGAGAATAGTTGTTGCTATGACTACAACGTAATATAACACCAAGACAAATACGTTCCGGGCAAATATATTTTTGTTTGATGCAAATGCATCCTGGCACATCTACCCATGATGCATCACGGCATTATACGGGCTGTCATCGAAAGTGAGCTGTCCGTTACAGTATGTATGTCTACGTAAACATTATCACAATGCAAAACAAACAAACAAAATCTGAGAAGAGTGAACATGTGGAAATATAAGAGTAAAAATGATCTTCACCAGGTCAGACATTCACAGACCTAGAAGTATGAAAATATGATAATAATATAAAAAAAAAACATTTTTTGACTAAAAACTCAATATTGACTCAAATTTTGTCTGTCGGCTCCAAAATCCAGAAATATTTAAAAATATTAAAAAAGTGCGGAAAAATTTGGGCTAAGATTTCTGTTGGTGAAAAGGTTAGAAAAGAGAATATCGCACCAAGTTCAGACAACATTTAACACCCCAAATTCAAAGGATTATCCTTTTTTAAATACGACATATTATTCATAGTTTAGTAGTTTATGTATTTATATTTTTTTTATGAAAAACATCAGCAAATATAATAAGAGTTGTTCAAGTTTTTATGATGTTTATTTAAAGGGAGGATCGTTACCTGCGCATGCGTCATAACGTGTCATTGTTTACAAACAAGCGTCTACTCATGAGCCTTTGTGATTTTGCGTGTGTTGTTATCGTCACATATAGTACATTTTTGCCACAGAAGCCATATTCATGATTTGTGATTACACACATGACAGGGCTGCGTTATCCTGGCGTCAAGCAGGCTCGGACGAACACAAGCACCTGTGGACCTTCCCCCAAGTCGGCGATTAATTTGTTTTTGTAGTTGAAATAAAATAAAAATAATCCCCTGTAACTGCGAAATCACTCCGTCGAGGTGATTTCGCGCTAACACCTCCATTTCGCAAATTCTTTTATTTTTATAAATTATTTAAACTACAAAAACAAATTAATCGCCCGACTGCGCCAGTCTATTGATGGGTGTCCGTACGAGCGACACGACACTATAAAGGTTGGTAACGGCTAGAAAACGGCTCACATCGCATGTAACCCATATAAAAAACAAAAATACATAAATAGGATATACATTTTCAAAAAAAGAATATCCGATTTCGTATTCCTGATCTCAGTAAAGAGATAGTGGTCTACAGGAATGGTACTGGCGGCACATTCCTAAAATTTCCCAACGGCAGTAGAAGGAAATTCAATACAGTCAACTCTGTTACTTTCATCATGTTGTTTGTATAAATACGCCAGGATTATTCTTACCTGTGTAAACAATGTGCTGCACTGAAAAACTCTGTTCGACTAAGATACATTGCGTGGCCAGGCTCCTCAACATCTGGAAGTGTCCGCGACATCTCGTATCGATTCAGTATATGTATACAGCCACGTTGCCTTCGTATTGCTTCGTTGGTCTATGTGTATTGTTGCGTGTAACTTTGACTTCATCTGGCTGATAAATATAGCATGCGTTAACCACTCACGTGGCTTTGTATCCGTTAATCTCTCTCTCTCTCCGTGAGCCAGTGCACTAGTCTATTAATAACGCAACCGTATTGACATTTTTATTAATTTTGAATAGAACATAGTCAAATGCTATTCTAAAGAAAATATGATTTAAACAAAAATATGAATGCATCGACCAATCAGACTCGTTAATATAATATAATATAATATAATATAATATAATATAATATAATATAATATAATATAATACAATCGGGTGAACGCGGTGCTTTTCAGCGCTCCCCGATTTTCTGCCTGTTTTGCGTTTTTGCGCTCGTTGTGCGCCCGTGTTTCTACACAGCTGTATATATAGTGTGTCTACCTTTTGCGTGAGTAATTTATAGTTGTTGTTTTCGTTATTAGTGTGGGTTTTGGAGTGTTTTTGCCTTTGCCTTGGCAAGGTGGTCGGCAACCAAGATGGCTGCCGCTCACACAAGGCCACCGTCAACACCAACAGGTCACCTTACTAGAAACCATGCGGTACGGTGTGAAAACATTGATGGCATTCCTGTTGAAACTTATGTGGAGTCGGTTGCAGATTTAGTCGGGGCCAGTAATATTGTGGCTGCATCCCGTATGAACCGATCGGTTATTGTCTTTTTAAATAAGGTTACATGGGTCGACATGGTTTCTGCCGCTGGCCTTGACATTGGAGACCTCCATGTTTCTGTTGAACCTCTTGAACCCTCTACAAAAATTGTGCTATCAAATGTTCCCCCTTTTTTACCTGACAATTTTATTACAGATGCCTTAGCTAAATACGGGCGTGTCATGAGCGCGGTGCGAGCGATCCCACTCGGGTGCAAAAGACCAGCACTGAAACATGTAAAGTCTT